TCGTCTGGAACCTCATCGGCGGCTTCGGCATCGGCGGGCCGCCGCTCTTCAAGTTCGGCTCCAAGGCGCTCAAGGACCGCATCGCGCCGGGCATCCTGCGCGGCGAGAAGCGCATCTGCCTGGCCATCACGGAGCCCGACGCCGGCTCCGACGTGGCCAACCTGACGTGCGAGGCCAAGCTGAGCGACGACGGCAAGCACTTCATCGTCAACGGCGAGAAGAAGTGGATCACCAACGGCATCTGGGCCGACTACTTCACCACCGCCGTGCGCACGGGCGGGCCCGGCATGAACGGCGTCTCGCTGCTGCTGATTGAGCGCGGGCCCGGCGTCACCACGCGGCGGATGGACTGCCAGGGCATGTGGTCGTCTGGCACCACGTACATTACCTTTGAGGATGTCAAGGTGCCTGTTGAGAATCTGCTTGGCAAGCAGAACCAGGGCTTCCGAGGTAAGAGACACGGGTTTTTCTCTCTCTACGGTGCATTTGTTAAGGGGGGGGATAATTACCTCCCCCTGAGATGAGACAACAGCTAACAAGCATTGCTTTCTTCTAGTCATCATGACCAACTTCAACCACGAGCGCATGGGCATCATCATCCAGTCCATCCGCTTCGCCCGCGTCTGCTACGAGGAGTCGGTCAAGTACGCTAACAAGCGGCGCACCTTTGGCAAGAAGCTGATTGAGCACCCGGTGATCCGGATGAAGCTGGCGCACATGGCGCGGCAGATCGAGGCCTCGTACAGCTGGCTCGAGAGCCTCGTCTACCAGTGCGAGAAGATGGGCGAGACGGAGGCGATGCTGCGGCTGGGCGGGCCCATTGCCGGCCTCAAGGCGCAGTCGACCATTACCTTTGAGTTTTGCGCGCGCGAGGCCAGCCAGATCTTTGGCGGCCTGTCGTACTCGCGGGGCGGGCAGGGAGGCAAGGTCGAGAGGCTGTATCGGGACGTGAGGGCGTATGCGATTCCGGGCGGCTCGGAGGAGATTATGCTGGATCTGAGCATGAGGCAGAGTCTGAGGGTTGCCAAGGCGATGGGGATGAAGCTGTGAAGAGGAAGAATGATGGTGCTGGATAGTTTGTATGTATAATGATGATTAGGCCAAACCATAGATTGAACGATGGATTAAAGTATTACTAAGGGCGTCTCTTCTTGTGACTATTTTCCCCCTTGGATATAAGGAATTTCCTTGAACGCTATTCTTTTCTACTACTCTTATTCCTTCTACTATCGCTATTCGCTTCTACGAGTACTGCCGCCATCTCGTCTATAGCCGCTAGTCTATCTTATGACTATATGCCTCTAGAGACCTTATACTATAGAGACACTAGAGCCTTCCCCCCTTATATGATTACCGTCTGGGGTACAGATGCAGCTTACCTTGGGGACAGAACAGGCAACATGCAACTGCCGTCGGCGCTTGTGCACTCCTGTAGTGAACAGCAGAATAGCAAACAAATCACAACGTCTGCATCCCATCTGCCTCTCTCATCAGACCCCCTTTTCTCACTGCCCTTCTGTACCTCGAGGAGTGAGTGAGTCCAGCCTCAGCCATTGTCACAGTTGAGCCAAAAGCACAGACAGCCCCGCCGGCACGTGACCCCACCAGAACGGCGTCGGCTGAGATTGAAGTGCGACGAGTTGCAACTTCATTCTGCCGTTTGGGCTTCCTTTTCCCACCAACTCTCTCTTTCCCATCGCCCCCAGACGACCATCACGATTTCTCCCAACTTCTCTGCCTCTCTCTCTCCCGCTCTCCATCTGCCTCTTGCCTCTCTTCTCTCTCTCCCCATCTTCCTCGACACAGCCACGACACCGACATCGCAAACCGCCCATCAGCTTGCGTCTCCGTTCCAGCGCTCTGCGACTTTCTTCTCGACTTGACTGAACTCTTTTCAACTCCCCTGTGGACTCTGCATCGCGAAACCAGCCAAGCATGGCCGACCGACTAGCAGACCAATTGCAATCCTCTCACCTGAGGTACGACTTGTGGCTTCCTCGTCCCCCCCCCTCCTCTTGGGCGGGCAAGGAGCATGCGCTTCAGCCGCTGTGTTTGACTCGTTTTGCTGATTTTCGGTTGCCGATGATAGCGATGGCGTTCCTCCGCGAAATGAAGACTGGAAACAAAACCTGAACATTCCCGCCAAGGATACCAGACAACAAACGGAGGTTTGTACTTGTTCTGCCATCTCTCCCCCGAAACAAGTCGCTGCTTGACTCGAAACGGGTGACTGATGCTGTGCTGCAAAATAGGATGTTACAAAGACCAAGGGTCTCGAATTCGAGAACTTTGCGCTGAAACGAGACCTGCTCATGGGCATCTTCGAGGCAGGTTTCGAAAAGCCGTCACCCATCCAAGAAGAAGCCATCCCGGTAGCATTAACTGGTCGGGACATCCTGGCCAGAGCCAAGAACGGCACGGGCAAAACCGCAGCTTTCGTCATCCCTGCTCTCGAACGCATCAACCCCAAAATCTCAAAGATCCAATGCCTTATCCTCGTCCCCACACGAGAGCTGGCGATGCAGACGTCACAAGTCTGCAAGACGTTGGGCAAGCACCTGGGCGTCAACGTCATGGTCACAACTGGTGGTACTGGTCTGCGAGATGACATTCTCCGTCTTCAGGAGCCCGTCCATATCGTCGTCGGCACTCCCGGCAGAATTCTGGATCTCGCAGGAAAGAATGTTGCCGATCTCAGCGAATGCCCCATGTTCATCATGGACGAGGCCGACAAGCTTCTCTCCGTCGAGTTCACGCCCGTCATTGAGCAGCTGCTCCAATTCCACCCCAAGGACCGACAGGTCATGCTCTTCTCCGCCACCTTCCCCCTCTCGGTCAAGGACTTTTCCGATAAAAACATGACCAGCCCTTACGAAATCAACCTCATGGACGAACTCACCCTGCGGGGTATCACCCAATACTACGCCTTTGTCGAAGAAAAGCAGAAGGTCCACTGCTTGAACACGCTCTTCTCCAAGCTGCAAATCAACCAGTCCATCATCTTTTGCAACTCGACCAACCGAGTCGAGCTGCTGGCTAAGAAGATCACAGAACTCGGCTACTCATGCTTTTACAGCCATGCTAGGATGCAGCAGCATGCCCGAAATCGGGTCTTCCACGACTTCCGCAACGGCGTCTGCCGAAATCTCGTCTGCTCAGATCTTCTCACCCGAGGCATTGACATCCAGGCCGTCAATGTTGTCATCAACTTTGACTTCCCCAAGAATGCCGAAACCTATCTCCATCGAATCGGTCGATCCGGTCGATTTGGTCACCTCGGTCTGGCCATCAACCTGATCAACTGGGACGACCGCTTCAACCTCTACAACATCGAAAGAGATCTCGGCACCGAGATCCAACCCATCCCCGCGAGCATCGACAAGAGCCTCTACGTCTACGAAAACCCCGAATCCATTCCTCGGCCCATCTCCAACGTTCCCAAGGGTGCCTTGCCTCAGCAGCAGTCATTCCCGGTCCAGGTCCCCGCCCTGACCCAGACAGCTCATAATCAGCACCAGCAGCCGCAGCAGGCCCAAGGAAACTGGCAGCCTCAGAATGGCCAGCAGAATGCCAACTCCCAATACAACAACGGAAGCCGGGGCCGAGGCGGCCGTGGTCGTGGTTACCGGGGCCGTGGAGGAGGCAACAACAACGGCAGCAACGGTGGTGGTCGAGGCCGTGGCCAGCCACCGCGGGATCCCCCCTCCTAGCCTACTAAATCAGAAAATACCCTTGCTCTTCAGGAGGATGTGAACGGGGGTGTGGTGGTTGTCGAAGTTGAAGGGATTCAAAAAACTCGTAAAAAATACAAAAAAAAATTGGGGGAGGGACTGGACAAGGCTTAGTTGATACGGACTTGTAGACTAGGCAAGACAATACTAACAGTTTCTCTCCCAAATTGCAACCTCTGGTACGCTTCATGTGACCGTCTCATGGAATGTGAACAAGCCCGGCGGCTGCGACTGCAATTACAGCCCCATGGCCAGGTAACTCCTAACAATATCCAGATGGAGACAGATGTGAGAGCTAGTCCTCACTTGGGGATATAGTACTATTGATGTGTATGGATGCTATATGTGCCTTGATATGTTTACTAAGGTGTGAATTTAGGAGAAGGGATAGCAGAGTATATCAACAGCAGAGAGTAAGGAGAGAAATCATAACAACAGTAAAGAGTAGGAAGAGTAGTAGTACACTAAAAAGTAGCAGTCAGAGTATATGATAGTAAAAGAGAGTAGTAATATAAGTAGTAGTACTGAAGAAGTAACTGTTTACTACCTACCTACCTAGCAGAGGACACTTTGATCATCAAAGATAGGGGGACTTGATCGCTTCTCTCTTGATTGTACATATATTCTACCTTACTCCCCTTTAACCTATTTGTGGTAGCCCTGTAGAAGAGGCAGGCTGTAAATTTCTGAACACATCCCATAACATATTGCGCCTCCCTGGAGTTTCAAAAAACATACAGGTCTAACGATTTGTTGACCAGAATCATCTAGATTGGCATGGAAAAAAAAAAAGAGGACATTTAGGTTGCTGCCATCCTTGCCTCCCCCCTCCCCCTACGCACCGGCCACGACGGCCAGGTTCTCGTAAATCGCCCTTTTCACCTCGTACAGCGTGCTTCTCTTGCCGCCGAGCGGCAGCCCCACGCTCTCCACGTCGATGTGGCCCTCGGCCGTCTTGCGGACGGCCACGGAGCCGTCGACGACGAGGGTGCCCTCGCCGCGGAACTCGGCCGCGTGGCCGGCCCCCTGCATGGCGCGGCGCAGGTCCGCGAGCCGCAGGTCGCCGACGTGGAGAGACTGGGCGGCGGAGCGGGCGGCCGAGATGAGGTTCGCGGGCAGCACGTCCAGCGTGGGCATCGCGGCCGTGTCGGCGGCGTTGGTGAGCGCGACGGCGGTGGACGTCGACGCCGGCTCCGTCTTCTGCCTCTTGTTGGCGACGTTGTCGTGGTCGTGGTCGTGGGCCTGCTCCGAGCCGCCTGCCCCGTGGGCGAGGGCCGAGGCGAGCAGCTGGCCCGTGATGGTGACGATGCCCAGGCCGCGGACGTTTTGCCACTTGAGCTTCTTGACCAGAGGGTCGGCCAGCTTCACGACCCAGGCGTTTGTGTCCATGCTGGCGTCCACCCACGTGCCGACCTCGGGCGTGAAGACGTCGACGGAGCGGTCTCCGTCCGACGCCAGCGCGGCCCGGCAGTCCGCTGCGAGGGCCGTCGTCTCTTCCCGAGTGCCCGCCACGAGAATCAGCTTGCGCGGCTGTATCAGGGGGATCAGCATGTTGAGGCTTCGCTTGTCGTGCAGTCCGCTGAAGTCAATCATGGCGACCCGCAGGTTCACCGTCACCGTTTCCGTCCTGTACACCAGCCTGCACGGGCCGGTGGGTTCCTCCGGTTCGGCATCCTCGACCGTGTCCAGCTCATCCGCGGCAGCGCCGTCGGCCACGTCCATAGCTTCGGCATCGTCAGCCGTAGCCGTCCGGTTCATGTTGGGCCGCTTGTTGGCACCGGCTGCCTGCTTGGCGACATCGTCCCACTTGCGCTTCTTGCCGAGCTTGTCGTCTTCTGCAGCGACCTGGGCACCGTCGACTGCGTCGTCTTCCTTCTCCTCTGCCCGCAGGTAATCTTCTGGGCGAATCAGCTC